AGGGCGAACCAGTACCGCAGCTGGTGGATATGTTGTTGTTATATTGCTACACAATATATACTCGTGGAGGTACCGCCCTAAAGGTGATTAGCCCTGCAGTTAAGAAGGGGTGGCCGCTGATACCATTTATGAACTACTTGTCAAAGCTGTTCCGAAACTGGAAACTTCAAAGGAGAACGTCCAGCAAATTTTGTCAATTCTTTGTGATTATGTATGTAAGCAAGTATTGTGGGTTTTTAATATCATATATGACATACTTATGTTTCTTAAACGATCTGCCATCGAATTGATTTACACTTTCAATCATAGCGATTCCTTAAAAACAATCCAAGAAATGACAACTAATTCAAACCCTCAACTCTCCATGCTAGTTGCAGAATTTCTTCACTTTTGTCATTCGAATCAAATCGTGAGATTTTAACTATTTTAAATTGTAATTAAATTTATTAAAATTTAAAATCATGTCCGCTTACTTAGAAGACCTTTGTGCATTTTTCATTCATTTCTCTCTGCTCCAGGTTTCTTGTTTATTTTAATAGGCTAACTAAAGTGGCTGAGGCGACAAGCCTGTCATCCTGTTTTTCCTTTGTATACCTTTCCATACTTTTAGCATACAATGTTATTTTTGAAGTTTTAGCCAAAAAAAAGTTTTAGCTAGTAAAAACCAAGAACTACATATATACAAATAGCAGGCGCTGAAGAAACGTCGGTTTATAGTTGAGAATTCATTCTTGGTAAAATCAATCAAAACAGTTATTGACATGACGTCAACTCCATGAATCATACAAGTCGGTTAAACATTTAATAATACCACCTACATTAACTAAGTTTTAAATATCGATAGCTTCTTGATGGAAGGCTAGGAACATTATAATTAATTACCATTAACAAGCGAAACTATATTGTCCTTTTTTAACTTTACCAAGAAACTGACACTTAAAATGATCTACCGTTTCTCAAGTGAACGTAATGCTAGTAATAGTACTCTATTTTCATTCCATGAGAGTGCCGCCGAGTTTTTAACAAAAAGAGTAGACCTTGGTTTTGGACAGAAAGTTTGGTCAACGTCGTAAACTACCTTTAAGCTGTTTATGGATCATTAAATCCACGAGACTAGCATTTAATTAAGCCAAATATGGATCTAGCTTTGTAGCAATCAATAATAAATCAAGCTCAATAACTAAATTAAAATGAAGCTATTATCGCACAACGCTTCTAGGTCAACAGACAAATCTACATTGACCATTCAGTGGTCAAATTGAAGATTACTGGGGTCATATTCCGCATTAAAGGAACTGAACAATTCAACTTCATCTGTGTACATCCAGTTGCAGCACGATTCAATAACAAACGCTAGGTCATTAATGTACAACACAGACAAGATCGGCCCCAAGCGACCGACTTGAGGATATTCACATCATTGAAATTGAAATAATTCTAAAAGATTTTTTACGAACTTCGACATTTTACAATAATCGGAAGGAAAGCAAACGAGAACAATTTGAAAAATTCAGTAATCTGTGACTGCTTCTGTCAAAGGCCGTGTTAAGATCCATGTAAACGATGTCCGCCTGTAGTCAATTGGAGAAAACCGTAAAGGTATGATACGTCAGTTTTAAAAGATTCGTGGAAGTTGATCTGCCTCGCAAGAATACAGAAAATGTTAGGATTTAATTGAAAAAGGAAAATAAAAAGAAACGAATCGCTTAAGCAACTTCGGTAGTATGCTCAGTTTATAAATTCCACTATGATTCTCAACTTGGTGTTTGCTACCATTGTTGTGAGTAGACATAAGAAAATTAATTTTTAAAAGCGCATCAACAACCTATGCAGTCAAACTTAATGTGAGCGACACGCCGTTTCCGGGCACATATGAAATGAAACAATTTCATGTGTTTGTATAGAAATAACCGGACGATGTTATTTTGTTTGATGAGCCTGTATATTTCTATCATGTGGTTGCCATTTGCGCTCATTCCCTAATATCATTCCCAGCAACGTGATTCGTTGATCGTCATATTGTTACATAACGTTTTCTATGCAGCGGTGTTTATGAATTCTTTCGCTTTTTTGTATTTATATTATTTTCCTCTGACAATAATGCAATATTTTCGCATCGTATTATCGTTGTTATCTTTATACCCCACACCACTTGTGGTACAGAGTCTATTAACTTAGTGCAGACGTAACACTCAGAAGGGCTTAAGGTAGACCAATCTTTTATTATACCGATCGAAATTGAGAAAGAAATTTACATCACCGAATTTGACTACGTAGCTCTATTTTATGGATAACACCCTTTATAATGATTTTCATACAACGTAAACTCTTATATACTTAAATTTTTTTGTGATGAACATTTGTTCATGTTAGTAATTAAATGAAACAATTAAATGGACCTAATTTCAACCACGTGACCTCACTCCGTATAAGATATCTTGTGACTAGTAAGCCTTTCGGAAATAGGCTTAATTCTTAATATTTTATGGTGAACATTAATTCGTAGTAGAGTTTCAGCAAAAAGATGAACGGTAGGTAATTTTTGCCACATAAGTCTGGACCCCAACATATATAGGCGCCATTACGAAACGCAAACTCTTATATAGAGAGAATTTTATGTTCATACCTCAAAAAATATCCCTTCTCACAATTTAAGAAAAAATGCAAGCGAACGTCAACGAACTGAAAAAACCTGTACGATGAATTACGAAAAAATCATCAACAGGGTCACAATCGATTCGATTGTTCCTACAGCTGAAGGTATTTATTAAGGGGTTGAAACCTTTAAAGAAGACGTCGCCACCGTTAAGGTGTATTTTTATGCGGCTCTATAAGTAGATAGGAAGGAGCGCGCCGCGGGGAGGCAAAATATTTTGAGGATATGGAAGTCTGCACGGTTAAGCTGCTCAAACTAACTGAGATCAAACGAAAGGTGTGATGTCCTTAGGGAAAAGAAACAAGAAGACATAAGCTTTCTATTATTGTAATTAGGAAAGCGAGGAGCAATACCTAAAAAATAATAAAGCACTCAATAATAGGCGTGACAGATTTTTTCTATTTTTGTAGAATTACAATGGAAATTTATAATGTGTCCCTCGTGTAATTTATGAAGTCGCGAGAGAAATAACACGCAAGCGAAGTGGTTCTCAACATTACTGCAAGGGCATGTGGGCGATGTTAGCGTGTAGGCGTTTATAGGCGATATCTTCATTTATGCAAACGCGAGAATGTTTATTATACAGGTGGGCAGGCGGATAGATGACATATAGACCGGCCTAGAACTTATACGCGACGGCTTTATTTTTCCGGCTTGGAGATTGTTGGCAAGGTACAGAATTTGATCAAGAACTTGGATAATATGATGAGTCTCTGAAGTTTCTTTCCGAGCGTTGGAAACGGTTTGAAGAAATGAAAATAAAACTCAGGGTGAAGGGTACAAAAATATCAAATGAATTCTTCTTCTGCTTTGTTATAGTCAGAAATTGTCAAATGCTTGTTTTTGGTATTACTAGGGAGATGCGTATAGCGTATACACACATCGCGAAGCATTGCGTACATGTACGAACGTACACGTACTTGGTGTGTTGGGTTTTCGTTTTATGAAAGAAGTGTTGTGAAATACACATGGAAAGAATATACGTATATATGCGGCTATATTGAACTTCAGCGTTATATATATATATATATATATATGTAAGGGATTATTATTACAGTATAATCATAAAAGTTAGAAAAATGAATGCGTCGTACCTTGAAATTCATATTAAAATATCAGACTTTGATAAAAAATTAATTTTAAATTAAAACAAAGCCATTTATATAATGAGAAGAATTGCACTTGATACGTTTCCACAATATCCACAAATGATAAGGAAGAACATAAAGTATGCATGCTCGTATGTACAAGCTCTGCTTGGCAAAGAGCGTATAAAAAAGCTTCGAGATGTTATAGAAACACTCGACTGGTTGCATCGCTCTTGAAGGAGGTTGCGTTGAAGAATAAAACTGAATTTTGATAACGGTTTATTTTGTTACTATGTCGTGGGCATTATTGATCTACATACTACACTCCAGTTTATCTTTCCTAGCAGTTATGATTAAAAACGCTAAAGTCAACAGCTAAACGATTTATAAATCTTAAAATCTCTTACTCTTTACCTGACATATTACGCCAGAGTATCAATGGATAAAAAGTAAGAGCTTTTTTTAGGAGCAAACATTGGTTCTTTGCAAACAATAGTTCATTTTCTTTTACTTGTTTCGTTCAAAAATTTCTACAACAAATGTTGTATTTGTAATTTAATATCAATGTATATAAAGAAGAACATCTGTTGAATTGTTTGCGTATTAATTAGCGTTTGTAAATAGTTTGCACGCAGATTAGAAAACGCGACCACGACCACTGTAGTGGGGCGAAGCCAACCTTTAGGTACACTACACCAGTCCGCGTAATGCCCTACGTACTTATCATAGAAACCCTATATATCATGAAAACCCTTGCGTGCTCTGATCTTCAAAAAATAAGTTAAACTGCTCTTACGAACGTACTTTGATCATAAAATGTCACGTGTTCCTAAGTTTTTGCAAAAAAGCTCGCTATTCACGGGAATCTTTAAAGGAAATGGCGTCCTTTATTTGGATTCAGTTAATTTTTATGGATAATTACTATTATGAAAGAGTTTTCGTCAAGAAGTATTGATATGAAAGTTGACTTGCGGTAGGAATATTTATATGGAAGAGTTATTTTTGTCGCGAAATTATGATATTTTATCATAAAACCTGTAGGCTGAACAAAAAAAAATACGTGGGCAGATCTTAGACGGACCAACAAACTTGCATTGATTCACAAAGTGACTCTGAATTGGACACAATAAAAAAAGGTGGATCTATCTCAATACTTTTTAGATGCTACATACTTTCGCGCAAGGTTAATATACCATGTAAAACACACGGTGCAGTGTGTAATATATAAAGCCATCGTGGAAAGTATAAATAGGTTAATATTTCTACGAAAGCTGCACTCTCCTATAGTCGTAACCGTTGGTCATGCATTTTTCCATATATGCAGTCGTAATACTTTCGGTTGGACGCTTACGTGGCGCGAAACCTGAGGAACAGGATATGGTGACACAAAATCTACAAAATCGTTCATGGCAACTAAATTTTATATTTTTTCTTTTATTCCAAAGGATGCGGAAATTAGAGATGCAATCGAAGAGTTGACAGAGAGCAACAATCATATCCAAATGCAATTAAATTTGATACAATCCGAATTGGAGAAACAATCAAGAGCAATAGAACAAATGGAGGAGCACGCAGAAGATACAAATGATAAATTGGAAACTATTTTGGAGCAATCACAAGAAGCAAACCAAAAATCTCTTGAATTCATTAATGAACTTCGGAACAATTTACGCGAAATCACCGCAAAAATTAACGAAATTGCTGGCAGACATCAGCCAAATTCTCCAGTTGATAGAGTCGGCGAGCCTAATCCTTCCGGGTAATTGTTTTGAATAGTTCGATAAATCTTTTTTTATATTTGTAGTTAGATAAGTTGTTTTTACGTGAAATCAGTGTCTCAAAATCATATCCAAATTGGAGATTTTATAACTTTTATATATATTTGCTCAATATGCTTTTCTAAATCGATTTAATTGTGTCCGTTCACTAATCCGGTTGCCTGTTGTTGGATTGCTTACGGTTATAAGTATTATATAGGAAACTATAATTTGACATATATGATGGCCACAGGTCAAGTTTAAAAATAAGCTTACAACTCATAGTCGTTATTGGACAAATATTTACCAGATTCATTTCAAAATTTTAGCGTGATTCGCTTATGAGCACGTTTGCAAGAGAAAAGGCGATATAATTGACAGTTCATAGCTGACGTCAAATTAACGCTCAGTATGCACATTTGCAAGAACTAGTTGAGAGTTTAGATAAGATAAGGCGTGATCCGCCTAAAAACATAGATAAGTGGACTTACTCACAATTTATAGTAGATATTGCTTTAGCATCCACAAAAGGTGCAAAAATAGAACTTATAGTCTAAAAACGACATTGATCCAAAATCTGAAAAAAAGTATTTTAGAAGGCCTATAAAAGAGAAAAGATAAAGGGGTTTACTCTAACGCAAATATAACTGTCTTCCTTGGTATTTTTTTTATTTCTTTAATATAAGCTACAGTTATCCCAAAAGTTGCGCCGATCATAACAGCAATTATTGCGAAGACGAAACCTGTCGCATAAAAATTTCTCGGTTTTCTACGGAGTTTTTGGTTCCGTGTGAGTATGATATGAATGGAGATGGATGGACCATAGTGCAGAAACGTTATAACGGTTCCGTCGATTTTCACCGCAATTGGGTCGATTATAAATCAGGTTTCGGTAATGTGCACGGTGAATTTTGGATTGGTTTAGATAAATTGCATGTTCTCACCACCACCCAAGGCCGTCAAGAATTATTGGTTGTATTAGAAAATTACCATGGTGATGTCAAATACGCTCGTTATGATGCATTCGAAGTAGGTCCCAAATCGCAACGTTACAAATTGAAGCTGGGTACGTATAAAGGCGATGCGGGCGATTCGTTACGTTATCATGAAAATGCAGGCTTTCACACCAAGGATAACGACGAAACCAAAGAATGTGTTAAAAAATACAAGGGCGGCTGGTGGTATAAAAATTGCTTAAGAACGTAAGTAATTAACATTATTATTTTCAAACTCTGATGTTTGGTTTATATTAAAAACATACGTTTTCTCCTCAGCAATCCAAATGGAATATACTATCGTACAGAAAAGGCACTATTTCCTGGTACCGGAATTTATTGGCGATCGTTCGTTGATGCTGACGAATCCTTAAAAGCAATTAGAATGATGATAAGACCTAAGGATCCTTAACCAACTTTTCTTTTTTCATACATATGTTGCAATAAAGTATAATAAAGCAAAATTAGCAATTAAAGACAAACTTTGCGATAAGGCATTAATTGCTCTGAGTAGCTGAAACGGGGAAAATTTTAAGCATTTTATATTAACAAAACACGCAAGAACGCTTCGTCTAATATTGGAGAATAATCAGACGTGAATGAGGGTTTTATTATATTCTGCTTTCTTACGTCATAACAAACTACAAATTAAAATTTATTGTCATAGAAGGGCTTGCTTTCTTGCTTGCCCTCTCAATATGGTGCGGTCTAAAAAATAAACCTATGTCATCGACATTCTCTGCGGTTAATTTACTAAGGAGCAATTTTCATCATAAAATTTTAAAAATTAGATTTTTTTTGTATACAAAAGCCTTATTTGTAATTAGAACACTTACATGGATTACGATCCAAAATGTAGATTTACCTGATTGAAATTCGGTAAATTTAATCATCCAATTCTCCCAATGCTCACGTCATACATCTTAAACAGTATAGCGTGTGTAGTGGATTGTCAATAATAAATTTAAGCTTTAAAAGTTTCTATTGCTTCTATTTCAGTCTTCGCGAGCATGACAAATCGGGCGATAGAAAGAGGACGAGAAAAGTGAAGGTATGGAGATAAAAATTGTTGATCAATTTACTTCTGTTCGTTAGAATGGGAATAATTGCGCAATCATATGTTCTTCGTTCGATGGCGAATGTAATGAATGAAAGATTCGACTTAAATTAAATATAATTTAAATTAATTAATTTTTTGCTTATGCCATCTTTAAACTAAAGGCAAACTAATGTAAGTTTTGATGTATTTTTGTATACCCATAGCTGAGAGGTAGGGCTGTGTTCATTTCAGCACGTTTATAACAACCAGAAGCAAGCTTCATAGACTTTACAACATATTCTCTATCAGTATCAAAACCTGAATCGGCTCGAACATGTGCGCCTGTACAATGCCTATTGTAAACATTTTCCTAATCACAAAAATGAAGTTATTGATTTCAAATTTGGCAGAAACATTGAAAATGCTTGGTATTGAAAACGGGAAAAATCTGTCGAAGGCCGCGCCTATATATAAAGCGAGGGTACATCTGGTTTTCAAAGACAATAAAAATTGTTTTTTTACTCATGGTTCATAAACTACAGTAAATGAATCTACAAAAATTTCAACGTTTTTGCTATGGGGGATACTGGATTACTTTTTGCTATAAACGTACCGAAACAAACTTTAAAAAGTCCATAAAGTGCATAGATTCAAGGCCAGTTGCACTTTCTGATATCAGTATCGTGTTTTATTATCTGCAGACAGGCATGGATAAATTCATCTCACTATGCGCATTATTAAAGAAATGTATGCTTAATGGGATCGACGATGCTCATTTCTAGTAATGTAATATATTCTTTCTACAGTGGAAAATGTTGTATTATTTTTATGTAGAGGCACATGAAAATCTTACATTGCAGGACGTTTGGAAGATTACCTAAGCATACATGCTTACAATACATATAATATGAATATAGATTCTACAATATATATGAATATACTACAATATATATGAATATAGATTCTTAGTTGAAGTGAAATTTGGTGTGTTTGTCAATTGTGTGCGCATAGTTACGGGAATGCTTTGCAACTTCTATGTATTCATTGTCGGTGCAAGGTATTAAACATTCGTCCTAAAATATCCTTACTTGTCAATAATTCGATATTTTCTTCGACAGTGATGAAACTCTGTTCTTTGATATATCCCAAAACGATAAAGGTAATGATGACTTTGAATTGTTGGCTTATTTTAGGTCGCTGGACGTAAGATGCGACCCCTTTGTACTTTTTATGATCCTTTACCCTTCTGTTAATTACGTAAATATTCCTTCACAGTTCTTGTTCGGATAACATAGGGTTTGTTACAAAATTATTTGCAAACATAAGTACGAACGTTATGGTCTGGCAAGAACGACCTTTAGATACACTGCACCACTTCGTTTAATATAGTCATACAGTCATTTTCTTAGTAATACACCAAAAATTATACATTATTTTTATGTAAACGCATACTTTCATAAAAGCCCTCTTATTGGAGAACACTCAAACGTCAACGTAGTCTAAATTGAGAAAAATTTATTATTTTGCAGTTTTTTCCGTTATGAAAAACTACAAATTAGTTTTTGTCACCATAAGAGAGGTTGGTTTTTTTATGAAAGCCCTTATGTTTGGTGTGATCGAAATAACTTACCTATGTGGTGTAAATTTCCTACAGATAACTTTTAGGCCACATGGCTACTATAGAATAAATTTTCATGAAGACATATTCAAAATTTGGCCTCTGTACAGTATGAAGACTCGGTTTCTGTAGAAATTGTGAAATGGCAGGACTTCAGAAAATTGCTTCATGCACTCCAAAGCTTTCACACCAATTTAGAATGCCGAAATATTTTAACACGTGGATTTTTGTCGCGGAATTTTGAAAAGTACTTTCTTGTAACAATCATCATGCGAGCCATTTTCAACAGCATTTGTCCCTGCGCCAGAAAACTTCGATGTACCATATTTTATTAACATATCTCGAAAATTGCAAGCTATAGGTTGGACAGGACTATACATGAGCAGCATTATCTGCGTATATTAAGTTTGTGCGGACGTATGTAACACGCAGAAGGACTTAAGATAGGCTCACCTTTTATTATTGACTTAGAATCATTTTCTGAACCCTGTCTGCCCGTCTGTTCATTTAAGTTTGTGTTCAAACTACAGGTCGCAATTTTTGAGATATTTTGAATAAATTCGGTACACTGATGTGTTTTGACCCAAGGACGAATGCTATCGAAAATGGTTATTTTGGGGGTTTCTTGAGCAGCAAATCGTTAATATCGGTTAATTACTATTAATCGTTTTACTAGATTTTAACAGACCATACTTCTTCTTCCAACAAACACACGAAGTATAGTCTCTATGTCATAGCAATTCGATGTTGGAATACATCTGGATGATGTGACTGGATCTATCCATGAACTGTTTTCGCTCGTCAATCTCTAATTAAATCCGTTTTTTATTTCGTTGGCATTGCGTATTCCATTAGGAAACAGGAGAACTTTAGAGCAAGAAATTACAAAAAGAGATGAAATGGCTTACTGTACTTACTTTTCTTGCTCAATCGATAATGAATTAAAGCCTTTAGACCAAATCACGCTATTTATTACATATTTCGTTTTATTTCATGTTGCCTAGGTTAGATATATAATGAGCTTCCTCATAATATGAATTTTCTTACACCTCTTCTTCTCTTATTGACCGGCCTTATTGTTTTCATTTAATTCATTTATTCATTTCATTCTTTGTTTAGTTTAAATTTTGAATTAATGATGCGGATGTTTTCAAAATTCTCTATAATTGGCAATCAATATAACATTGAAAAAATATATATCACAAATTTGTTGGCGTTGTTTTCAACGCGATTTTTGTTGTCAAAGCTCTTTATATGCGTTTAGGTATAACAGTTTTTTGGACTCACTAATTTGGTGAAAAAGATTTGTGTGATAAACATTTTCAACAATTGTTTTTTTTTTTGGGTAATATTTTCTGACAAATCATCAATCAGCAGGCGATGCTATCAGGATATGTAGTAGCGTTACAATTCTTATATATTCTGTGAGGACCCAAAGTCGTCCCTCGTTTTGGCCTCACGGGTGCTCCGTCTCTGGCTGGGGAGAGAGGAGTGCTAGGAAGTAGGATAGCATAAGATAGAATAGATATAGATTAAGAATAGGTTAGAATAGGATAGGAGTAGACTAATATAGATTAAGAATAGATTAAGATAGGATAGTAATAGATTACGAATAGAATAGGGGTGGAATAAGGTAACTTTAGTTAGTTTTAGTTTTAGGGAGTCGAGGCTATACACTCGAGGAGAGTAGTTCGTTTCTCTAATAAAATCGAGCGTAACCGAAACCCAAAATTTACGGAAATAAAGAGTCTCTGCAAAATAAAAATATTCTTGTGTTATATTTTCCCCAAATTCCCTGGGCCGCTGAGCTGCCCCAGCCTTTGAGGGAAGGGACGGAAACGTCCTCGCAATCCTTATTATTCCAATAGCAAGTTACAAAACAAATATCTTGGCTGCCTCTGATTTTGACCGAACTCTCAGCCCCTAATTCGTTGCTGCAGTTATTTTCAGCAGAAGTTTTTTCCTAGATTTCGCGCATATTCTATTCTTTTATTCTTCACATTCTTTATTCTTTCTTTTCCCAGTGAAAAGAAGCCCGTGACGGCTAAGTGATCCTACACGTGCTTCAAGCTATTCAAAACAAGAACTGAAGGTGATATAGTGCCAACAGAAAAACGAATGCTACACCTAATATTTTGCCTCTTATCATGTGACAAAACTATTGACAACCTCCTTATCAATTTTTGGGATGTCTTGTAGTGAAACTCAAATAAAGATTCCGTTATATCATATTTCCACGTTTTGTTTTTTGACTTCTATAATATATTGCTCTTTCAACTGACCGATGGTCAGTCTCTTATATAATAAATTGTTACGCTAGCTTAAGCAATATAGTAAAATTTCAAACTAGGTTATTACTGAAATTTCACAAACGTAACTTATCTTATTTAGGGTATTACATTTAAGGTGAATTATAACTAAAGTAGATTATCTTAACTAGGTTATAGCTATATTTACATTACGTAGAAATTAGCATAAGTGATTAATAAGTGAGTAGTAAGTAGAATACGATGAAACGATAATGTTACACCATCTTTTTCCGTCAGTGTTCGTTTAGCATAGAATTATAGACAATCTTCACTATGATGATATATCAAAACATTGTACCTTTCATTGTGTATTTGCTTGCAGCGTTCCAAAAATGCTTCGTCCTCAGTTCTCCGTTGTAGCAGGATTGTCATCAACGTTAGAGAACTCTACATCGGTATCTGATTTTTGGTATATGATTTTTGTGGTGGTTTTCGTAAAAGGGATGACGATGGGGATAAAGAGACGTTCCTGATCAACCCTCATACTCAACTCTGTGATTTCGCAACATG